TTTTTTTTTCTTTCTTTTTTTTGGCTTGTATTCCAGGAACCTGGAAACAGACCATAAGAAGACGAAAACAAACCGAAAGGTCCGAAACCATCTACTACTGCAGCGTGTATGATGGCAGCCACTTGCGAATGCTTCAACAAGAAGAGACACGTTGGGGTTGGCAGGCAGGCATACATTTCTCTCTCTGATGCCATCCTTCACTTTGGGTCGGCAGGTATCCATTTCTGTTTTCTTTTTTTTTTTACAAACTCGTTATACAAGCCGGGGGACGGGGCGGCGTCCATCACAGAGAAGTATATGGCTCCATTTCCCTTTTCCGCTCTTTTTTTTAACCTAATTTGTGTGTCACACCCTTGACTGAATCGGGACCTTGCCAACCTTCTCTTTATCAAAGAGAAAGGGGGGGGGGGGGGAGATTATCCGTACGGTTCTCTTTATCACGGACGTCAAGGACATTGCGGTCTTCATTTCCGAGTACTTGGGCATGCTTCACAAAGAAGACACGTAAAGAGAAGAAACTGTCTGCAAGCCAGTGGCTCCGCTATAGGATCTCCTCCCACCAATCACCATCTAGCAATGTTTCCTCGTCTAAGTACTCCGTGAGCTCAATTAGACCAGCAGTACATGACCGACCTAACTTGAGAAACACCATAGAGGCTCTTTCGGACCCAAATGGGGGCCAGTGGGACCAAAATGGGGGGCGGGCGGCACCAGCCAAAACTGAAACAAAAACACCGCCCTTGGCACGCTGAGGGAATCCACCTCATACAATATAGAGGCTCGGATCTCCTGGTGGTGGTTTGACAGGAGGGGGGATTGAGTGTCCGCTTGCCATTCTCTCCGACGATGCTCCATCGCATCGGTCAGGAGCGTGAGTCAACCAAGGACGCTGAGGAAAGACGTCCAACGCAAAGGGCCACTAGTTGAGAAAACATAGGGCGTACTGCCTTAGTGGCCACTGATTGTTGATCAACGATCAGCCTTAAACCACCAGTACCTTTGCCGAGTGGGAAAATAGCGGGCATTGGGTGGGCCTCCGACCTTTTAGGAGGAGGAGGCCGAAACAAAGCGATGGCCACTGATGCGATTTATCAGTGGCAGCCGTCCTCGGGCCCAGCCTCCAAACTCTTCCGGAACAGCCCGGTGCTCCCCTAATTTCCCAACACTGGAGGACGTACTGGTGCTTTTAAGTCCCCTGGCTGGAAGACAGACCGACGCCTGTGTTCAGCTCAGGTCCCACTTCCTCCATCTGAGTACATACCGTTACACCGCGTTCCACGCGGGGATGCAGCCATTCGGTTGGATGCATGTTTTATGCTCCAGACAGTAAGGGTCTCGCTGCACTACTCTCGAAATGTGCAAAACGAGAGTGAATCTTCCCGTAGAATATGGAAAGATACACCGCCATGATTTTTGTCTTTTGTGCATGTCGAGAGTAGTGCAGCGAGGCCCTCAGGCTGGCAAATGTCTCGTTAAGTGGGGGATGGGCGGTGGATGCAGGGGGCAGCAGTATAGATAGTAGAAGTGCTGAACAGCCAGTTCCAGCAGCAGTGGCCGTTGGGTGCTTTCCAGGCCTGCGCGCGCGGGAATTAGGGGGAAAAAAAGGGAAAAAGGAAAAAGAGCATTGAACATCGTGTGGGTTTTGCTGGGATAGAAGGTATCTGACCGAAATAGACGCTACCGCTCAACAACCCAGCCAGCCCAATAGGCCTCGCTCCAATACTGAAAAATGTGCCAAATCAGAATGAACCTTCTGCTAGAACATGGGACGATACGCCGCAACCCAGTAGAAAATCAAACAGGCCCCCAGAACGCCAACGGGCCTAGCTCAGTTGGTACACCCATGAACTGTTCAAATACAGACAGACTCAAGTTCGAATCCACACACTATCAGATGAGGAGCAGAGTACAATCATTCTGAATTTTGAATTGCCTAGGCCCAGACCAGTTCAATAAACTTCCACGACGATTATCTCAAGGCCGTCGGGAAAAGAAGACGAAGAAAAAAAAAACCGACAACTTTGCAGGAAAAATCCGAAAAAAGACAAAAATGAAACAAAACAGAAAGAACATCATTGCCCGCGCAATGCTGATATCCGCAAACTTATCTGGCCTCCTCTTAGCCATCTGTCTGTTTGACCCCAAGCCATCTGCAGCACGTTTCAGCCTCCACCATGGCCATCAGGCTGGGTGCAGGATTCCTCTGGTTAAACCACCAGTACTTCCTAAAGCTGTGCCCGTAAATAAGCCACCCACAGTTTTAGGAAACGTACGGGCCACCACAGGAGTGCCCAAATTCATCCCACTAGAACCGTTTCTACTCTTTTTTTTTTTTTTTTTTTTTTTTCCGCGGCCGATAGCTGAATTAAGTACGGGTGGTGATTTTAACTGTAGTTTCCTCATCGATAATAAGTGCCACATCGCCGTCTCCGTAAGGCCGACAACATGTTAACTTTCCTGAGGAGCAGAAAACCAATGCCTTCTGCAGCCTCCCAGGGATACTGGGATGTTGATGGAGAAGCATGGTGGCAAGGGGTGTTGTGCACAGAGGAGGGGGGGGGGAGGGAGAAGAAAAGAGAACAATGGCTTCTTGATTCTTTCCCCAAAACCAGATCAATTCCGGACACGAAATTACGCAGTAATGCCGCCGTCTGGTGTGTTAGCCGTGCACATTGCACATTTTTCTGTCCTGTCCGGGTTTTGAGTGTTTACCTTTCCCGCCGCGAAGCCATCGGTCGACTGGCAAAAAGCAGCGTACGCTAGGAGACATTGAAGACTGCAGATCTTTACGGGTCTCAGGGATAGGTACTTTTTCCGCGGGTTCTGTATCTCTTCGCTGGTGTGAAAGATTCACTTCCACATCTTGTTTACCTCAAGGTATGGATGTTCTGTAAGACGACACACGAACTTAGTCGTGTATTGATACAGGTGCATGGTGGTTCCTAGTTGAGGTCGTCCGTCCCCAACCCCATTCTCAGAGGTCTATACCTTAAGCTCCCAAATGCATTGGTTTGCACGGAAGAAGATAGACCAGGGTCTGTACTTCGAGACCCGGACCTTCTGTACTACGAGAATACCTCCAGTATTTCCACCTCGCGGTCGATTTATCGAATTTCCATCCCTCAATTCGATTCAACTGGTTGTGTATAGGCAAACGAGACGAATCTAGCTCTCTGACTGTTTGTGTTATAGCCTCCTTAGCAAATCTGAAGCTCTTTCTGGATGGTTATGGGTCTTGAGTAGGCCCCAGTCTCCTGATTTCCAGGTGAAGACTTCCTTGAGGAGGTCTAACCATGCCGGGGGTGAGTGCACTCATTTTCCGAATGCTTTGAAGACTATCCGCTTACCGGTGGCAACCGTTCGTCTAGTTCCACAATTCTTGTTAGGTGAGCCAACCTTGTTCTCTTTCGGCGATAGGTGAGCCACAATTCTTGTTCGGTGAGCCTTTCCCATTCTACTTTGTTGATCCAAGAGAGCCACATCTCGAGCCTAATGTTTACATGACCAGGGATTGCCTGTTTTTTGTACGCTACATACGGCAGCATATACATCCCGTACGACAAGACCCCCACCGTTTCACGAATACGTACAATGGTGTTTTTGGGCAAAAAAAAGGGATTCTTTTTTTTTTTTTTGCCGGGGGGGGGGGGCGAGGGTCAGGGAGGCACGTGAGATATCCGTTTGAGGTCCCCTGACCGCAGTCCAGTTGAAAAAAACGGCCCTTGGCACCTTGTACCCTCCCTTGCAGCCCCGACCCCCCTGCCCGCACTCCTCCATAACAATCAACACCACCCCGCCAACATCCCTCCTCGCAAAAGCCCGTTACAAGCCGACTTCAACACCTTTTACTGAACAACCGCGAAGCACACACCCTTGCACCCCCAACAGGCAATGGCATTCCCTTGCCTAAATCATTACACCCCTCACCCCTCACCCATCTCTCTCTCTC